AATATAATATTGTATGTCAATTGTAATTGAAAAATTAAAAAAAATTTATTTAAAAAAAGGTTGGTTGATTTGCTTTACAGTGCGTATTTCATGGATTATTTCTATTTATTTTTCTCTTAGGGCAGTTAACCATTTCATGTTGCTATGTTAGGCATGCTCTTGGACAATAATTTTGAAACAAGACTCTTTGTATTTAATTGAGCATCCAGCAGGGAGGCAGCACAGCAAAGCAGAGGTGGGCTCTATGGGACGGACACTGGAGCAGGGACAGTTCATCTACTGCTCCGGCCCAGTCTGCGGGAAAAGCAGCACATAGGCATATCAGTGGGAGTCCTGGAAGCTCTCTTTGGCTTGTTTCTCTTTTCTGGGAGAAAAGAATAGAGGTTTTCAATGCAGAGTGATGATGCAGAGGAGTCGTAAAAGGTTGGAGGAAAGGCACAGGGTGCGGAACAGTCACTGTGGAGAGTAGCAGATACAGACTGATTCCACGGCAGCCTTTTGTGACCGTGAGTGTACAGTGAGGCCACTAGCACTGCTGTGGTTTTTCTCCAGCCACCTGGGCAGAGCGGGTGAAGGCTCCAGAGGGCGACAGGTGGGACTTAACCAGGGCTTGTCTGGCAAAGGGAAGGAGGGGAGGAGGGCTGGAGATGTGAGAATGGCTATCCCTGCTGACCTGTAAAACTGCACTTCCTCGAAAAAGACACACATTGCCTAGTCCCCGTTCTGCCTGCTTTTCTTTTGAGCGCTTATCATTATCTATCACGTTACATATTTGATTTCTCTTATTTACTGTCTGCCTCCCCTATTGTGAAGTGTCCATGAAGGCAGATATTATTGTCTGTTTTGTTCATTGCTATTGCCTTTTCAAGGCAATTCCTTATTGTTTAAGAGCAAAGCAGTTACTAAAGTATCTGTGCGCCCCACTCCCCAACACTGCTCTGTGGTTTAACAAAGGGCAGTGACTGGCTGGTTGATTACCTAGCGGCTATGTTTAAAGGACTGAGTGTTTGGATATAATTTTGATCTTTAAAACTGGTACTATTAACTTCCTATTCTTATTACAATAAGGAGACCTTAAGGTGGTGGACGTTTCCCTAACATTTTCTTGAGTAGAAGAGAGTGATAAAAAGCTGAAAGTGATGAGAAATGAGATTGGAACATATGGAAGGTCAGATCAGAAAATCTGTGTGGTCAACTTATTCCTAACTGGGGAGGTGAAGGGATGGGAGAGTGGAATGAATGAACAAGATTTATATTACAAGCTGTCTCTGGCATAGGGTGCAAATGGTAGAGGGAAAATGGACTGGGGTTCCAGAAACCAATCAGAAAGTTGTGGCGGTAATCCAGGTCAGACAGAAGGGTGGCCTGAACTAAGGCAAGGGTGGTGAGGAGAAAGGCAGGTGGACCGAAAAACGTTAAGGAGGCGGAAGACCCCGCAATGGACGGTGGAGGTTCAGGAAAGGGGGGAGCGATGGCAGAGCCGGGTGGCCTGTCCTTGTTATTCTGTGAACCTTTTCAAGGTCCTGACTAGTGGAAACTACAATATAAGGCTCCTTCCACAATATCCAGATTTTATCTAAAAATAGCACCCAAAAACCCCATGGAAAACAAATCATTCCAGTGTTCAAAAGAATGACGATGTCGTCATGACAGGCAGCAGGGCAGTGCTGATGAGCTTTTCTGGACACAGGCTCGCTTGAGTAAAGCCCTTTCTATCTGTCACCGATGGGCTATGGGCCCTGCTTGCCCGTCGAGTTGCCACTGCATCGCAGGCTCCGGCTGAAGGGACTCTTCTTGGCCTTGCACTGCTGGCTGGCAAGCTCCTCTAAAAACCACATCTCAATAATTCTCAAATAAATCACCTATAGACATTTACAGAACACTTATCAAGTGCCCAATGCCATGTTGTGGACTGTACGTTTACATAAATCTTTATGCTCATCTATTCATATTAATTCAGCAAATACTGTGAGTCAGTACCTGCTGGTGGACGGGGGTCACAGGGGTCTGTCATGTATGACCAGTTTATTCTTCTGCAGAGTTTAGAATAGGAGTTCGAACACGAGTTCAAACATGATTGGATAAAAACCCTAGCCACATTGTTGGTGAAATATTTTTTCCTCTAAAAGTATGACCCTGATTATGAGAAGTACTGATTCTTAAAAATGATTTCACTCGGTCGTAATGCCTACCTTCTGGACTATGGATTGCTTCATCATCAACTCTTAGTGCTCATAACAACTCTTAAAATGAACAGCACTTTTAAAAGTTTCTAAGATGAGAAGCAAGTTTCACTATAAGGCAGTGCTGTAAGTTTCTTAGGAACTCAAGTTTCTCAGTGATGGAATCTCTTAAACAGTAGGGCACATTGTGCTTTATCATGTTTCTCAAGTTCAAATGCATTTCAAAAACTAAGATTCTGCAGAAAGGGTCAAAGTTGGAAGGAGAATTTGGTCTAGAAAAGAAACAATAATTGAGAAATTCACTAGCCTCCATTCACTCATTCACTCACGCATTCATTCATTCGTTCAACAAATATGTTCTGAGTACATCCTAGGGCTGAACCATCTTTTAGGGTCTCCGGGACGGAGCTGATATTCTCATGGGGAAGAAAGAAAATGAAAAACGTAGGGAAAGAAATAAACAATGCGATTACTGACAGTGACGAATGCTTTGAGGAGAAACAAATGAGGGGAACGGGACACAGGACCTTGTTAAGGGCGGGCCTTCTCTCATTTGTCTTTGTGTTTCTGGCATCATGCAGAATGCTCAGAAAAGAGGGGTTGCTCAAATGTTTGTTACATACATTAAAGTGAGCTTTGAGGTATCTGCTTTTGTTTCTGGAAGTACCTGCATATATCTGCAAACTGAAGGATTAGGCTCTTTAAATTAATTGTAAGGTGCAATTCTGAACTTAATGGAGTTAAAGCGAGAGAGAAACCCAAGATGCTAGTGATCCTGCCGTATACTTTAAAAGTGTCCTAAAACCCCGAATCCTAGCAATTTTGAATATTTCCAGTTAAGTTTACTAATAACATAAAGCAAGTGTATAAAATATTAGTGAGCTTCTAGTATGGCAGAGTTAACATATATAATTTTAATAATCTACATATTACTTTTAATACAAAGATAATGTAAAATCAAACTGATTTATTCATTACTTTTTGTTTTTCCTGAAAACTATGGAAAAATCAAACGTAATGGGACACACAAAGGGGCAGGCACTGCCTTTCTCTTAAACTTGATGCAAAATATCTGCCAAGTGACAAAAGCTTTCTGTGAGTAGATCTACAGTGTCTAGTTATCACAGTATACTGACGCAAAAGCTATGCTAGAAAATAGGGTATTAAATCTTTACAGGGCAGCCTCAGCATGGGCAGTCACTCCCTAAGCAAGAAATAGTCACAAATCCTGCTACATTTTTCAAGATATTTTAAAGATCTCAGCCAGCACAAGCAACTGATACTTTTTCATCTCCCATTTCGACACTGTGCTACAAAGAAATCAAAGCTAGACACTTGGATCTAGCCCATTAGAATAATGTGTCCTTACATCCTGGGCCTAGGGAGCGACACTATTTTTGTTGTTGCTTTGAGGTATTTTACAGCTGTCTTTAAATGTTGTCTTGACTCAGTTTTGAGGCTCTGGCTAGAGCCTGGCAGTTTCCCTTCCTGAGCAGCTGACTGAATTCACACCCCCAACCTCTCCCCTACCCGGCTCTCATACTCTAGCCCCTGTGCACCCGTGTTTACTGCCTCAGGGTTACATATCAGACAACCAGGAGAGTCTCTATGCCCCAGAGCCCACTGGAATTATTCAAATTAGCCAGTCCTAAACCTGTTCGCCCTGCCTCGGTCCTCCCAGAGGAAACCGCCATAATGGCATCGTCCGCTGCTCTCCCTTCTCCCCCTGTCTGGTGACGAACCCCAGGGCGTGTGCTGTGCTCACCCCGGGGAACTGTAAGTACAGCAACTGTAAAACTCTTTCCAGTTCTCTCTCTTGATTTGCGTCTGGCTGCATTGTGTTTCACTCAAGGTAATATGGTGAAAACACAAGGCTGTTGGCATATTTTAGTTAAGAAATAATACTAACATCAACTGCAACAGTTCTGATTGATTTATTTTGTAGTTCTAGTTCATTTCAACTTCCTGAATCCTGTAATGACCACAGACACATGTAAACTCTGTATAAGACACAAGTTATCCAAAGCCTAGCTTTCACACAGATACAGTATTATCGATCGATCACTGTGCTAAATGAGGTGAGATATTGTTAAAGAGTATGTTTGGATCCAGTAAAGGTAGATTAGCTTATTCAGATTAATCAATCCATTAAAAACTCCACAACACTTCAAAACATTGAAGAGATGAAAACAGAGCAAAAAGTCCCAAGGCAATCTTTGAACAAAAGCGCAGAATGAGAAAAATAAGCAGAATATTGGAGCTTCAATTCTTCCTGTGCTGTGGAAGGAATTTACAACACCCCACATTGAGGTTCTGGTCTGTTGAACATTTCAGCTTGATCATATCACTTTGCTTAAACCCCTCTACAGCACCCCATCTCATTCAGCAGAAAAGCTCAAGTTCTTTCTTGGGGGGGGAGATGGAGTGGGGAGGGGGCGGCAGGGGTCAGCAAACTTTTCCTTGAAAGGCCAGAGAGCAAATACTTTAGGCTTTGCAGGCCAAACAGGTTCTGTCACGATTACACAACATTATTTTGCTAGACTTGTGTGCAAATAGTATTAAGATTCTAAACTGCCATGTACAACAAAAATCATTTTGCAGAATATGCATAAAATCGACAAAAATATACAATATTAGTTTTGGTTTATAATGCTAAATATTTTTCATAATAGCTCAAGAAATATTTGCTGAATAAAAAATATAAGTACAAGGTCCAGAATTATACATTTTTTACAAAAAGATGATGGCACAGACAGCAAACGAAAGGTTAAATAGTTTCTTCTGTAAAATATATCAAGTGTTTAATAGTGGACTTACTTTAGATTACTGATTCTCATTTCTGCACTTTCAGTAAGCTTCTTTGTTTCTTCTTTCCACCTGTTGGCTGTCTTCTGTTGAACCGCTAAGAGATGCCTCAGTTCAATGGTGGAATTCCGATTACTGTCTTCCATCTCTCTCAACTGAACTTCAAACCCATGTTCCTTTATTGAAAATTCATGTTCCATTGTACTGATCTAGGGAATAAAATGAACACAGTATCTTCTTTTTCTTTTCTGTTAGTCTAAGACATATCTAAGAGACTGATCAATGATATATACAAAAGAAATCATTCATTGTATTGTCTGCAGCACAACTATTTGGATGAGAAATCTATACAAAAATTAACTTTACAATTTGTTTTCATCACAAATGAAAACATTTTGTATTTCAGTACTATAAATTTAGTGAAACCAGAATTAGGATGGGCTACAATTTTTTGCAATGTTTCCCCTAACACCTTAAAAGTCCAGGAGGAAAAGAGTGTACCATCTAATATAAAACTGCTCTCATTATTTACTTTTACTTCTGTTGCCCTAATGTTTATGCTCTCAGTAACTAAGAGTTAAGTTTTTAATCAAGCCATTAAAAAAAAAAAAGTTTACCAGTTTGTGGTAAAGGCTACCATCGGGAACAGCCAAAAGGAAGAGGGACAGAGGACAGCACGTAGGGTCGATTGGGGCTCCGTGCCCTCGCCACATGTGCCATCCTCCCAGCACCTGATGCGTTTACCAGCCCAGCATCTCTTCAAGCCACTTCAGATTAATATACTAAATCTCAGATTGTCTTTCAAGGGGTTTTATAGTCAAAGAACATTATATGTAGGAATTCCTTTATCATTTCAGTTACAGTATAAATGTATTTTTTCCCCAGGAAAATAAAAGACTATAATAACGAGTTTCAGAATCTCATATGGAAATATCTTCAGTACCTATCTGTCATTGCAGTACAAATACCGTAATGCAGAACAAACACACAAGTAAATGCTCTCTGGATACCCTAGAAGCTTTCTTGACTGGGATCCAGGAAGAGAATTAAGCCCTGATGCCTTAAGGTATACAATGAATTGCTTTCTCTTGTTGCTTCTAGAATGAAACTACTGATTATCATCTTGAAGCAACTGGTGAAATAGTTATTAGAACAGTTTCTTTGGTGTACTTGCAGTCAATATTTATTTTGCTACACTAAAGAAATATAAAGAATACTTACCTTTGATATTTAAAGTAATGTGCTTTCAAAATTTTCACAGCTGGCATGGCTTCTAGTAATTCACTAAACATGGCTACTTTCAAACTCAAAAAAGAATGAAAGGGGTCCCCAAAAGGGATCCAACTTTACCAACTCAAAAATCACCCAGGAAAACCCAACAATAGCAAAACCCATGGCTCATAGGGGAAAATTGCACACGCCCCATCTCCCCTACTCCTGCTAAGTGCAACATGCTTCCTAAAGCTCTTACACTGGCTTTCTCAAGCAGCACACAAGCAGAAATTCCAGACTTTGTAAATACTGGCACTGGAAATACAAGATTGACTGCTTAATTTTGTGCTGCATTACTGCGGAGCAAGCCTCCCGAGGCTCTTTGACTCCTGCTATTTTAGTAATTTTTGAATTATTAGATTCTACAAATTTAGATTTGAATATGCTCCTCCTTCCTTGCCTCAATTTCCGCTTGCTCAGGAGAAGCCCTGGTTCTGATATCTTAGGCGGGACTGTCTGTCTCTGTTTCTCACCTAATGTATGTGGATACATTAAAAAGTGATTTATGCATCAGTGTAGTTTTAGAATTTCGCCTACCTAGTTACCTCCCCATTGCCACTTGGAACATCTAAAGCCTTGCTCAAAGGTCCTTTGTGATAACCTGGTCTGCCTACTTCTACAAGCTTGTGCTACAGGCCCCTCTTCTCCCTTCTTTGTTTCTGCCACAATGCCTTCTCATTTTGGTTTCTTTTCACATGTTGTTCCCCTTTGCCTGTAATAATTCCCCTTCTGCTTATCTTAGTTATTTCTACTCAACTTTTAAAACTCAGCTCAATTACTGTTTCTGCAGGATAATTCACTTACTATCTATCTATCTAGACAAAGTCAAGTCCCTACGTCACAAGCTCTCTCTATACTTTTTCCAGAAAAGTATTTATTAGTTTGTAAATATGTTTAAAGTTTGCCCACCTCTGTGAAATTTATAAGTTTTTAAGGGTGGGTACCATGTCTATTTTTTTTTATTATTGCATCTTTAGAACCTGAAATACAGCAAGGTTGTCAAAGCACATCTGTAGATTGAATAAATGATGGCTTTTTGGTGTCAAAATTTAGTCTTTAAACACACCCTCGGTCCTTTAGTTGATGCAATTCTGACTGTTAAATCGGATATGTCTGCAGTGACGCGGGAAGGCTAAGGGCCATAGCAGCTGATCTGTAATGAAGGTCCTACTAACACTGGGACTCAGAACTTTGGACAGAGGGAAAGGACGTAGGGTCTCCCTGCCATCTTCCTGTGTGCCCTTCCTCTGCAGAGAACTACTCACACAAGTGGGGAGAATTACAAAAAAATTATCCATTTCCTAATTTTATGTACAAAGAAATGGAAAGCCTTTGCAGGAAGAAAGGAGTTAGGAAAGGAGAGAGCTAGAGCTAAAAGACATGCAGTGGCTTTAAGAGCAAATGGAAGCCACTTCATATAATAAGTTATTAAGGTTCTCAGCCAACTGATTTCTCAATGTTCAACTGTCTTGGTCTTTCTGGCTCTTTTCACTTTATCTGTGGAAGATCACATTCTTTTTCAAGAGAGCAGTTGAGTGTAGCACGAGGCTCCCAGGTTGCCAAAGGAAGAATCGGCCACAAAGCAGTTTATCCGAGAGCACTTCTCCTCCATAAAACAGAATTACAGCTCGTTAGAGGTTACTACTACTCGGCAATGCTGCTGGGCAATAAAAAGTAACGAACTGCTGACATAGGTACCAGTGTAGCCTGACTGTGATATCGTGACTTAGAATAAACATGTTTGGTCTTCATTCCCCGTTTTGTTCCCAGGTATGAATTTTTAAATGGAGATTACAGAGTGTACAGGATTACAATATATGTGATCACGTGCCACTTACTGACGAGGACGCCCTCTGAGAAATGCATCATTAGGAGATTTTGTCGCTGTGTGAACATCATGGAATGCACTTACACACACCTAGATGTAATTGTACGAGCTGTGCTTTTATACGACTTAGCAGTGCAGGTTGGTTTACACCAGCGTCCCCACAAGCACAAGAGTAATGAACATGTGGCGCTATGGCAGCTATGATAATGTCACCAGCCAACAGGAATTTCTCAGCTCCACTATAATCTTATAGGACCACTGTCCATGGTTGACTGAAATATTGTTATATGGTGCATGACTTTTATATAAATAGATATGCATGTAATTTGTCTTATGTTTTTAAAGCTTAAGAATTTTTTAAAAAACTTACAAATGCATTATAAATTATTTGGAAGCATAGTTTTTAATGGCTTAATTCAGTATTTTATAGATGTACCATAATTCACTTGTTTATTTCTAGATAGTTTGTTTCTAATTTGTTATTATAAGTAATGCTTCAGTGAACTTCTTGCATTATAAATATTTTAATTGTTTTCTTAAGAATGAATTTTAGATTCTAAATGTGTACCATTTTATACTTTCGGCTGCACATTTACTCACACAAACTTTGCAGTTAATTTTGAGCTTAAACTTTTAAAAAATTGTTTATTAGCAATGTTTTTCATAGTTTGTGAATTCTGTTCCATGTCTCATACATGCTTTTCTATTGGGTTAGAAATATTTTTCTTTTATATTTTTAAAAGCTTATTATGAAAGTCTTTGACTTTTGTCATATTTACTAAAATGATTTTGTTCACTTCTTATTAAAACATTTAAAAATGGCTTTCAAGATTTAAACACTTTATGTACTTAAATCTATTAATATTTTCATTTGTAATTTCTTTCATTTTTTGTTTTGCTGAGAACGGTCTTTCTCATCTATCGGTTAAATATTCGACTACATTTCCTACTAACGTTTTATACTATCATCAATAATTTTGTTATTAATCCGTATGAAATTTACAATATGAAATGTTAACTATAAGATGGTGACATTAATATTTTGTCAACAAAGTACACAGACTTTTTTGTTTTATTATGGGAGCCTTTAAGCATACACAAAAATAATATTACAGCAAATCCCATATGCTCCATCATCCGGCTTCCATTATCATCAAACTCATGGTCAACTCTTGTTTTATCTATACTCCAACCCATTTTCCTCTGCCAAGATTTACCTTTCTCTCTGTTACAATGAAGTCTATAACTCTTAGGGGTACAACTTCCATTTTTACACATAGTATCCTGACATACCAGAGTCACCACCCATATTTAGATACCCCAGGAGGCTCCCTTGTGTGCCCTTCTAATCAGTGCTCACCCACCTAAAATAGAACCACGATTCTGATTCCCTCCTTGTAGTAATTCTGCCTGTTCTTCACTTTCATATAATGAAATGAATAGACTATAAGCTTTTTTTTAATGTCTGGCTTCTTTGTTCAGCATTATGTCTGTGAGACTCATCCACCATTGCTTATAGACACAGTTCATTCTTTTTCATTGCTTCATCTATTCCATTGTGTGAATGTACCACACAATTTATTTATATAAACTCATGTTGATGGGTATTTGAGCTGTCTTTGGTATTTTGATTGATTAAAACTTCTATGAATATTCTCGTACACATTCCGATGAACACAGCACTCATATCTGTTGGGTACGTGGGCAGAATTATCTGAAATAGTGTATATGCATGTGTAACTTTTAAAGATGCTGCCAAATGGAGGTTGTACCAATTTACATTCCCAAAAGTATCATATGAAAGTTTCAGTTGCTTTACATCTTTGTCTACACTTGATAGTTAGTTTTTAAATTTTGTCCATTTCTGTAAGTATGTAGTGGTACTTCATCACAGTTTTAATCGTATTTCCCTGATAAAGCATGAAGTTGAACATCTTCTCATATATTCTTTTATGAAGTGCCTATCAAAGCCTTGTCCATGTTAGGAAATCGGATTTCTGTTATTTCTTTATTAACTGTTTTTTCCTTATTAATAATTTCCTTATTAATTGGTAATTTTTTATATTCTAGATATATGAGTCCTTTTGTTGGTTGTATGAATAATATTTTCTTCTATTTTATTTCATGGATCAAGTTGGTTATTTTTGTGTAGATTACACACTGTTTTTATTCCTGTAGCTTTATATCAAGTCTTGATATCTGGTAGTATGATTTTTTCCCCTTTGTTCTTCAAATATTTCCCACAGACTGGAGTATAGTATGATATATAAGGCTCTCTTTTTCAGAGTTCAAGCTTTTATAAGTAACTACAGTGCTTAATACTTGTAATAGGAGGCATTCAATAAACACATGTTGATACGAATGAGACTGGAATCTGACTTTTTATGAGTCCTCATAGTAGCTAAAAACAAAGTGAAGTACTGGCACTACCACCCCATATCCTGACTATGAAACCAGAAGATACAGATCTTCTTCAAGAGTTGATGACACTTTCTACAAAAGTCTCATGGAATGGAAAAAGGCAAGCAACATGTTGGTGGTGATGCCTGTGCTTCCTGAAGCTCCCGTAGACAGCTCCCCATGTCCCTACTGCCAAAGTACGCAAGCATTAAAAGAGGGAGAGATGGGAAAGGAAACACGGGGACACTTTTTTCTGGAGGAGTTTTGTCCCTTGCCTTCTTCCCAGCATGGAATGTTCAGACTACCTAGGAGCGGTCCTCGGAGCCTACTGATGCAGCATCCTCTGTACCGCTAGTTTTAGAGTTCAATTTTCGAGAGGCTATTATAGAGAGAGAAGAGAGGACAGCAGTCTGTAAAGTTATCTAATCTATAGTTTTGCTAGCACTGCACTGCTTAAATTGCTTTGGCAGGAATATCAGTGTATTTCATGGTTGGAAAAGAATTTTTTTTGTGTGTGTGGATAGTGAAAGCAATCATTTTCAAGTATGCTTGCCAAGTTCTATAATACAGAAAAGCCTGGTTAACACTCAGCATTATGATTTAGTGCTATCTGATGAGAAGGCAAAAGAAAAAAGGTCCTTACAATGTTTTACTAGGTCTCTCTATCTTCTATATTTTGATCTCCATAGGTACACATTTAACTCTAACTCGTCTTGAACATACCTTGAATTTTGCTTTTTTTTGAGCCTCGAGAGCAATTTTCCTTAGCTCCTCAGTCTCCTTCTGTAGTTGTTCATTTTCTTGCTGAAGTTTTAGCCTTTGTTCACTGACAAATCCACAGCTCTCTCTCTCAGACACCAGTATATTTTGAAGATTCTGAATCATTTCCTGGCAACGTGATATTTCTTCTGAGGAACTGATTAAAAAAAAAAAAAAGAAGAAAGAAACTTAAGCAATGATGTGTAATAGAAGTCAAGAAGTCTGCATATTTTATAGGAAAAACTTTTGTTTTCTTTGTCCTGAGCCATATCTTTTCACTGTAGACTTAAAACACGTGGTGTCACAATGTCATATTATGCCAGGCAAATACATTTAACATAGTAATCTTAACTAACGATAGATAAATTGAACTGTTATCACTCACCTAGAAAATCTATGTGAAACCTCTTTCAAATTTTTACTAACATTGAGAATCACTGTGTAAAGAGGACCTCAAGGGGACAAGCTGAAGCTAAGGGTAAGAAAGGTGAAATAGTTAATAACGCAAACTCCTTTATTTTATCAACTGCACAGAACGGCATTAGCTGATTATATTCCTAAATTATAATAAGATCTATTTCATGTTCTCCTGTTATATGTCTTAGAAATAGTTTTTACAAAGTTCTAGTTATTTAGTATTAGTTAAAAAAGTTATATTTCTTGAACTTTCTCTACAATGGATTATTGAGTGACACAATCTCCAAACATGTGCCTATGTTGCTTCAATACACTGCTAATTGTTATTTCTCTCACTTTAATTTCTATCTTTTCAATCCCAGAAAATCAAATACTGTGAACACTGCCTTGTTAACAGGTGTTACGAGGAATATACAAGTCTCTCATTTCCCATAATACCTGTAGGTCTTCTTTTCTATCTCAACCTTGTGACAAAGCTGCTAATGAAATGATGGATATAGGCAATGATCATCTAGAATGATCAAGTCAGAGAGATGCTAAGATCAGAAACACTCACATGCCTCCAAATAGAAATCCAAAATATCACCATCTATGAAGAATTCTTACAAAAAAATGAAAGTTGGATCACATCAAGCCTCTTGGTTTAATTACTAGTTTTTAAAAATTATAGCATAATAACAAAAATACTTGTTTCCTTTTATTGATCATCTGTATGCCAGATACTTTACATATTTTATCTTATTAATTCTCATGTCAGATGAGGAAACTGAGGCTGAAAAAGGCTAACTGACTTCCAATCCTAGTAATATGTGTGTATTAGGTAATCTGAAAACCTCCTGTTAGGAAACACCTAGGATTGCTGAAGAAAATGTGACAATGTTTCAACAATATATTTAAATGCATAGTTGCAATGGCAAGAATGTAAGGGCAATCCCTAAAGCCAGAAATGGAGAGGATATTGAAACAGTCAGAGAATGGCAGAAGCACTGACTGCCCTGTGTGGTATAAGAAGAGTTACATCTTAGGTGGGGTGTTGGAACTCACACTTTGACTGAAGTGGGGTTCCACTGAATGGGTGGGCTAGGAGAAAGGTCCATATATTGTTAAAGGGAGTCAGTAAGGTAGTTGGTCTTACCCTAAGCATTAGTTGAAACATAAGTTTCTAATGAGATACCATAACCACTGGCCTGCTCAACTCGAATGGGAATTTGAATGTAAACGACCTGAATGATCCAAGGATTCATCAGCCTTAAAGTCATCCTGAGCTAGTAATACTATGAAGGCGCCTGGCAGAAAAAATCGCAAGGCTTCCTTGCAGGGACATAACTAAAATCTAGGTTATACACTTAAATGTGCTTTAAAATTCCATTTCAATTTTCTTACTGTTTTTGAGTATTATCTCTTTGTATAACTTTTTTTGGTAATTTCTCTAGGTATAACATTACACATACATACATCACAGAATACTGGTAGTGTTATTTCACCAGTTTAAGTGCAGTATAGAAACCTCACCTTTTATGTCCGTTTACCACCCCGTTTATAACTACTTCCCATCATACATTTAGAAGCAAAAGTGTGACACCTTTTGCTTCAACCAGCACATATAGTTTAGAAAATTCAAAAGAATAAAGACTATTGTATTTATCCATGGTTTTGCTTAATGTGTTCTTCCTATTGTTCTAAGTTTCTCTCTTTTATTGATTTATTTTATTTCCCAATTACAGTTGGGAAATATTGGTTTGGTGGACGACACAGTGATGAGACATTTACATAACTTATGAAGTGATCACCCTGATAAATCCAGTACCCATCTGACACCATATATAGTTATTACCGTATCATTAACTATATTCCCTATGCTATACTTTCCATCCCCGTGACTATTTTGTAACTAACTACCAATTTGTACCTCTTAATCCTCTCCCTCCTTCACCCATTAATTACTAGCTTTTAGGAACTACATGGGACAGAGAAACAAGGCAAATGATACCACATTTATGCATCTTATATTAACTGCCAAAAAGGAGAAATTGAAAATAAAATGGTATAGTGCTGTTAAATATTTTCTTCCTGAAGAAACTGGTCTTCAGAAATAATCTTGAAAAAAAACTATTAGGTGCCAAAGTTTTTTTTTTTCTTAACATAAGATATAATGATTAGTCATACACAAAAAGTAAAGAACCTGACAAAAATTATATGAATTCTGAAAGTTATCACAGAAAATCCTAAAGAAGATCTTACTTTATTTCAAGCTGCTTTATTTTATTTTCTGCTGTCTTAAGTCTTAGCTGAAGATCATCTTTTGATCTCTCTGCAGCCAGGCATCTTCGGTGCATTTCTTCCAGTTTTCTGTAATCGCTTTCATTCGCTATGCCTTCACGATAAATCTGCAGAGGAGGCTTATATGTATATCACCTTATAGAACAAAATTGTCTTAAGAAATTATAGATTCAGAAACTGAAAGCAATGATAAGAAATCAAAGCCCATGATTATGCATTCATCTGTTTCCACTGTAACACATTAAAACATATCAATAATGAATTTTGTTCCACATTGATAAAATACAATGCTAAAAACTGACATATAAAATAATTGCTTATTTTTTTAAATTATTCATGCTCATTGTAAATTACTCAAATTGTTTTTAATATTTTAAAAAGAAATGTAAAATAGCTGATGAAAAAAAAAGTACTCTAAACATCACCACTTAAGAGATAACTGCTTTGATTCTTGGATGAATATTCCTCAAGTCAATTCTGTATTCCAATATTCAAAAACAGATACATGCTGTGGTACAATAAGCAAAATTATCTAAAAGTGACTCTGAAGTCCCACTCCGGGTTAGCTAGACAACGATCTAGCTGGAATGGGGATTCTTCTCACTCAGAGGGAGTGGTTGTACCTAAGCTCAGCTTCCATGAGATGGGCCTTCTCTCACAACACAGAGGCTATAACCTGCCAAGAACTGTGAGGTCTCTAGGCGCTAGGCAGCTCACATTTTCTGACAAGTCCTACATACAGCTATCCTTCAAATCCAGAGTGCCCGGACAAAAAATAACCTGTGTCTTTGCCCATGCACAAGACTGCTTTGTCAGTCCTGCTCTATAAAGAAGACAGACTGTCAGCAAGTCAGTGTCCTGCCCCTCTAATACAGACAGGTACTGGAGTCCCAGCGGCACTCTGCTGTGGGGCAGTGGAGCGGAAGGCGCAGTGCCTTCTCGTTACCTGGTGCCTCTAGCCTGGTAAGTTTTACAGTTCCCCAGTAAAGTCTACTCCTTAACCTATGCTGCGCAATATGAAACATTCATCCCAAGCCCTGACATATACAGCACGTGGCGCTCTAAATGGAACATATCTGACAGAAACTAAGAAGGCATCAACCTTGAAGGGGAGGGATGACCATCAAGGTCCTACCTTGAACATGACATGTACACTTCTTATCCCCTCCCCTCCCCCCCACAAATGGGATTATACACAATGTTTTGCTTTATAAATTACTTTTTTTTTTTAAAGATTTTTTATTGGGGAATTGGGGGATGGGAACAGCACTGGGGAATTGGGGGAAGGGGAACAGACAAGTTGCTGTCCTTTTGTTCTTCAGTCTAGTTGGTGGAGGACGTTGCTTCACTGGCCCAAGTTGGCACTATCATTCCCGGGTGAGGCAGATCAGTCGCCGGCTTCTGGACGGCTGCTCATGGCAGCTGCTGTCCGCTCACGCTGGCTGCTGGCTACACACGGTAGCCCATGGCAACCCACTGCAGCCTGGGCTGCAGCCTACGCTGTCTGGTCGAGCTGTTGTTCAGCATCTTAGCTGTAGAGGGCAGTGTCACTGGCCCTCATATGCGGGATCTGAACTGGGGCCCTCTGGCAACCCACGCACCACTCGGCCAGCCCTATAAATTACTCTTATACTATCCAATGTTGTCATGATCTTTTTATGTCAATAATATAAACATACCATATACTTTTTATGCTACATAGCTCTTCTTTGAAAAAAATCAAACTTTGCCTCTAACATTTAATATTTTTTAGCACTGGCAAGATACTTAACCTCTAGTTCTTAATTCAGTACCTACAACACAGTCTATGCTGAATCAAATTTAGGTTCCCCCTTTTTGCCCAAGGCACTTTAAGAGAGTGGGATATTTACCACTAATAAAAGTTATCTAAGGAAAAAAAATTAAAATATAGACTTCTCACAATATTTTTTTCTCAAATATCATTGGAATATTTTTCCTAACTATGGAAGAAAAATCTGTACTTTTAAAGGTAAAAATCATAGCACTGTTACAATTTTCTGGTTATATATACTTGTTATCATAAATGGCCTAAACTGAGTAAGAGTTGGCATACAATTTAAAAAGAGAAGACAGGCAAAATAAAATTTAGTTTTTGGATGAGGGTTAAGCAAGGAATATAGCTACTTCATAACATTTATACCTTTAACTAAAAAGTTTAAATAATGTGGCCAGTCTTGTAAAGAAATGTACACAGGCAATACCAATATCTAATAGCAGATTCTGAATATATTCCAAGCAAATGAAAACACTCACCAGGAGGATGCTTATAATATAGGGGCTGCTAGTAGATAGTGTGATGGAAGCAGACAGTAATGTTGGATATTTGCGGTTGGGGTTTAGGCAGTTATTTTTTCCTTTTTCATTTTACCTTTTCTAGTTCTTCTTCCACTGCTTTTTTCTCCCTCATGGCTCGTTCAATTTGGCCTTGTTTTTCAGCACACTCCTATAAATTCAAGTCATACATAAACATATTTGTAAATGCTTAAGGAAATTAGGGAAAAATGGAAAAGTAGAATGATTTGTTCATAGCAGGAATACCACATTTACCCTATCAATACAGCAGGACCATACTGATTACATACAAACAAACCAACAAACAAACCCCTTCAATCTTCAAAGAGCTACCTGTCCCAGGATTTCAGAAACTGCCTCCAGTGCAGAATGCCAAGGAGTTCTAAGTAAACACTCGAGGTGGGTTCAGTGATTCCAGGGAGAAACAAATACATAAATAAATGAGACCCCTGTCTCACATTATAGTTTTTCTTTTCATATACTCTTATCACACTTTTTAAAAGGAAACGTGAACTGGACAGAGGCATAGAACCCTGAGGATAAGCTGCGGCCTAAAAGGAGCATAGGTATATAAATTCTAAAACAGATATATATATATATATATTCTAAATATATATATCTAAATATATATATATTCTAAAACAGATATATTTTGGCAACACTTAAAAACAGCCAATGCAAATGAAACTAAAAAAATCATGATAATGACTGGTTCTTCATTTATTTATTTTTATCTATTTACTTATTTTTGAAAATGGGTGTGGTTACTTTCTATTAATTGTAACAAATATTAACTGCAACAAATATTAAGAATCAATATCATGTTTTCAGTTATAAAATAAATAAGTCATGAGGATGTAATATACAGCATAGGAAATAAAATAAATTATATGCAATATAAAACAAACAAAATAAATTCAATGTTTACAGCAAAAAAAAAATTCAATATCATATAGACCATGATCTGTGGCCTATATTTAACCAGATTCAAAATCAATAATAAAAAGATGTCTAAATGAGCTAGTATATGAGCATCCAGTGTGCTTGGTATTGGGCCCCTCATCCATTTAAATGATTTATGTGGGGTTACTTTTCAGCTATTGCTGACATCAATGAATACTCAAGGACAGAAGAACCAAGAGGCTTCATGTGATCTACACATGTGATCTACCCTTTTCTCTCTAGTAAATGAACTAACACTGTAACCTAAAGGCTCTATCTATAGCACCATCTATATCCATCTAATCTATACCCATCTAATATTGCACCATCTATATTAGTATGTTTGAAGACACTCACTAAATTGTTAGTAGTGGTGCCCATGAACAGGAAGTGGTATTCTGGGGAAAAAAGTAGAAAACGTGTATCAGTTTAACTCAGTATACTTTGATATTGCTAGAATTTTTTTATAGTTAAAATGTTTTCATATATTACATGTGTAAATTTTTGAAATAAAAATACCACTTATAAAAAAAGATGTTTAAGTGCCCATGTATTTGGTAATTAAAAATTAAGACTTCTAAAAAACTCATGGATCAAAAAAAGATCATAATAAATGTTTCATTTTACTGTACAAATTTGGGCATTTATAGCCAATATTCTTTCTCATGTGCTATAGATGAACCGCAGTCTCTGCTACTTGGCTGAATTAAAGCCTTGAGTGAACTTAAGAGAAAACATGCAGGAGAAGCTGCCCTCCAAAGGGAGATACGTAGCTTGAGATAGACTGGCTCTGGCCTTTCCTTAAACCTACCAAAAAATTTTGCACAGTAACCTGAAATACAAGTTTTTCTCCTTCCTGCAAGCAGAACTTAATTTGGGTTGGCTACAGTACGCTTAGGTTCCCTCCCTGAATTCATCTTCATAGCATAAAGGTAAAATGGGCACTGAAGATAGAAATCAGCAACCGACATCAAGTTGTTATGCCTCAAATTGTAGCCTGAGTTTCCTGAGAAAATCTGCTTTTCTAAGTAGTTGAAAGTGTCTTCCTTCAAATGTATTTCTAAGTGCTTAATATTTAAACTTTTCAATTAGTCAGTACAGTTTTCCCCATGGAATCAACATGACATTAAATCCTAAGAAACACCTATTGAAATAATCTGAAGTTATATATATTTTTACTCTAAAGTGAGTTCATAGAGCTCTGGTTGTTACACAGCTAACAGTTATTTTTACATCACTGCAGGTCTTAACTAGTACAGATTCCTTTGGGAAAACAGAAAGAACAAAGGTTGTCCTTCTAGAGTTTATAATCCGTTAAATGATCCTGGCTGAGTTAGGACCCTTCTTCAACCTGTTAATCTTTTGATAGCTAAATCAATCTATGTAAGACAGCAAGTGAAACAGCAAGGTGACAGAAGAGGAAGTAAAACTGAAAAACCACCAAGGATTAGATATGACTAATTGCCACATTACATCCCATTAATTTTATTTAACATTCCTATATTGTTAAAACAAATGACATTAAATACACAAAAAGTAACACTGTTTCTTGTGCTATCGGTCTCAGGACTTATACACAATGACTAAGTTCCCATTGTGTGCTACAGTTTGTAGAATGCGTAAAAGATGTGACCCTTCTTTCAGAGGTGTTTCAATATCAATCAGATACTTTCCCCATTTTGGATTTGCTTGTGCTTTTAATCCCATGTCAGCAAGGTTATTAAATTCAACTTCATCAAATCATCATATTAAATTTATACATTGAATCCACCTCTAGTCACAAGTACTCTTTTCCTCTTCCCTTTGCCTGTTCATCCTTCGGGACTCTTTTCTTTTGGGAAGCTTCTCTTGCCTCCTTCCCTCTGTCACATAAGCTTTTTCGTTCTCCCTGGTCTCCAGATGAGCACAGCATAAGGAAGCAGCGGCAGCTGTGGGCTTCAGTAGCACCATGAGCATTCTTTGTCAAAGACAGGTAATCGTAGGAAAACGTGATCAATGCCATCCATCTCTCCTGCTAGACCATGAGTTCCAAGACTGCAGGTAACACATTTACCTCCATTTTCACTGTTTTCCTAGCATCTAGCATAGTTCATGTCTTAATAAGTATCTTCTGAATGAACTAATGCCCAATATGTACTCTGCCCTTTAAAATAAGCAGTATTCAGAAGAAAATATCAATACAGTCTTCTAACATACCATATGAAGTGCTGAAACTTCTGCTGTTAGTTGAGAAATCTGTACATTAGATTGTTTTCTTGTGTTTTCAACCTGTAAATTAAGATATTTATGAATTATGTAGGTCTACAGTAAAATGAATAATATCCAATATAAACATTTAGGATAACAATTTTGATAAAAAATAAAGTCGCAACTTTTGGGACATAAAACATAAATGAGTACATGATGCATTAAATAGTCAATAATTTATCATGAGAGTGGGAGATAGAACAGGATAGTTAGCCTAAAGGACAGTGGTTTTTTTAGCCCAGGATCCTTTTACTCTATCAAAACAAAGATCTTTTGTTTACGATGGGTTCTTTCTATTGAAATTTACTGTATTAGAAATGAAAACTGAGAAAATTTCAAAACATTTACTTACTAATCCTTTTAAAAATAACAATAAGGTTATTACAGGTTAACACAAATAATATATTTTCATAGAAAAATAAAAACATTTTCCAAAAGTAAAATATTTTGAGAAGAGTTTGATTATTTTACATTTTTGCAAATTTCCTTAATGTCTGGCTCAATAGAAGACTGAGTCTCATACATACTTCTGTGTTCAAACTGTTGTGTTGCTGTGTATCATCAACTTCTGGAAAACAACACTGTACACTCACAAGCAAATGAGTGTGAAAAAAGGAGGCAGTATTTTACTGTAATTAGGAAAGTAGGTGTAACTGTGCAGACTCCTTGATCACCGGCTTTAGCCATAATTTAAAATCAAATGTTAAGAAAACAATGGTTTTTTTTTTTTCACAAATTAAATTTTGTTTGTGAGATATCTCAGAAATAGTTATTTCCATATTTTAAAGAAATAACCTACTGTCACATTTTTGTTCAATTTTACAGCCAGAACATAAATATGTGACAATTTGTTCATTATATTTACTTTAGTTAATAAAAACAGACACTTGTAAAGTCATTAGACATAAATTATCCTGAATTTACCAGGTTAATTCTACATATTTGGAGGACATGTCAAATTGTAATTAATGGGGAAATTATCACCAATACAGCTAAAAAATTTAATAAAAACCATTAAAAATATATTTAAAAACTATAAATGGATATAAGGATACATTATATAATCTATAAGGTGTATTATATGAGTGTGTATATATGTATACGTGTGTGCATACAGTTTACGAAAATAATACATACTCTTTGAAATTTCAAACACTGCAGAATTATATTATGTAGAAAATGAAAGGTCCCTCATTATTCTACTTTCTAGGCTTAGACAGGCTGGTGTATGGATCTTTAGAATTTTTTTGTTACTGATAATTATATTGTATTATTGATAATCTGGGATTAAATGAAAATTCAAAGGATGTGAAATTGTAAATGATTTTAATTTTCTTTTACACACTTTTATATGTTTCCAACTGTTTTATAATGAGCGTGTATTACTTTTTAATAATAATAATAATAATAATAATAATAATAATACAAAAGTTTACTTAAAAAATCAACTTCGCATCAGTGTGGGAATTAGAGCATGGTGCTTGGCACACAGGAAGTGCTCAAGGAACACTTCTCGAGTGAACAGGTAGAATAGAAGGGAAACAGGACCAGGGCATCAAAGGGGGCCCATGAGGAAGGGAAGGCTGGGTAGGAAGGGAGGGAGTTTGGTTTCAGACCTGTGGCACTTCAGATGCCTGGTACGACTATTTAGATAGGGGGTAACTGGGTTCCAGGAGGTAGCTGAATACTCATGTTTGTGGAAAGGTTTGGACTGAATATACAGATCACAACACTTGAAAAATTACACTGAGATTAAGGGTTCATGCGAAAGACAGCCTCCACCAACCATAAAATTAACGTGAATTTATTTTAGAATTAGAAAATGAATAAGGAGTTCTCATATTATGAGCATTTTGATAAAAACAGTTTTATAATTAAAAGCAACAAAATGTATTAATATCTATTTTAAAGCTATGTTATCAAGAATACTTTGAACGACAGCCAAAGTTGTAGTATTTTCAACCTCAAGAACAGCCCAGGGATTTCTGCAGGAAGGCTAGATGAGATCAGGAACAAAAAACCCAGGCTTTAGTTTGGATTCTGCCTCAAATTAGAAATTTTATCTAGGGAAATCACCTAATTTCAGTCAGACAATGACAAAGTAATAAATTTCTAAGGAATACTTTTGCAGCAAGAAAAGTTAACAGTGACTGTGTAGGAATGAAAACTCTACCACTTAATCGCTTGGGGGAAAAGCAAGCATGGTAGATTTTAAATAGAATGAAAAATTCCTTACTTCCTTCCTGGTTAGTTTGGAAGCGTTTTCCATAAGCAGAGACATTGTTTCTTTCATTTTCTCTAGATTTTCTTCTTTTTGCTTCTCCACAATGAGAGCCTTCAGAAAATAATCTGATGTTATTATAGATCACATCATTATTAATGAAGATAACAATAAATGGGTAAAAACCTACCCACTAACCTCTTTCTTGAAAGCAAACATCTTATTCTAAATTTCTGAGACATGTTCACTTAGAGTCCTTGCCTAAGTCCCGAATGGTATTTATTTTCTCAACCCTCCTCATCTGACCTCGTCTGACTACAAATTTATCTTCTTTGGGTATTTATTTCAGCCAGTGTGCTGTCACTCTTCTAATCTCTCCAGCTGGAAAGCTTAGAATTATGTTTGAATTTTCCTTCTCTTTCAGTCCCTATACAAAATAAGTCATCAAATCCAGGTATTAGTATATTCTCGGAAAAATCTCTTGGAATTACCTCTTTCCGTTATTTGGTATTATTCAAATTAAGTTTCTTGTCACCTCATACCTCAAACGCCATAGACTCCACCTACTTTGTCTTCTTGATGTGTTTCTATCCATCCAATCATTTTCATCTCCACTTAAAAAATATTCTCATAATCCTAGTTCTGTTATCAGTCACACCAGATTTCTTTGCTTCCCTGTGCAGCAAAACTCTAAAGTCTGTACTAGCTCATCTCCAATACTTTCTCTCTCACACACTCACTCCAATCAGGCTTGCACCCTCTATGTTCTCCATATTGATAACTCCTGAGTCAATTTTGAGTAATTGCCTTATTTAATCTCTGGGCAACAGTTGAGATAATTGATTGCATCTTCCCCCTAGTTTTCCTTTCTGATTTGACTTTCAGCACACAACAGTGCTGGGTTTCCTCCTAACTTCATCATTCACTTCAGTCTGTGCTGCTGCTTCTTCCTCCTCTCCTCAACCTCTTCAGTACTGGTCTACCCAAGACTCAGTCCTTGGTCCTCTCCTCCATCTATATCCATCCCTTGGTGGCCTAATCCAAGCTCATGATTTTAAATATCATTTACATGCTGAAAATTCCCAAACTTACATCTCTGGCCCAAATATTGTTCTGAGCCCAGAACTCCTCCAATTTTAGGCCTGACTCTGACTCTCTCTCTCTTGCTCGCTCGCTCACTCAGTTTTATCATCACATAAGTGGCCCTGTTCTGATCCTACTGTCTTCCAAAGATACCATACACATTTCCATCTCTGTATTTTTTTATTGTTTAATAAATTTCCTCCTGCTTAAATAGGTAAGCTGGTAAGAGTTACCAGCTGTTTTGATGTAACAACCTTGTGGGGGAGAATGGGACAATGAGAAAAGGGGACACATTTTAGGAGAACTATGCTAGGTTGTGCTTCAGGTCTGTTTGCACGATGGGTTGAAAGAACCCTTGACTTCTTAGAACAAGCAACTGAAGGTGGGAGCCCTCTAGCAATGAAGCAATGAGTCAACAGGGAGCTTGATGTTACAACCATAAGCAGCCTCTGTAAGGGTCTGTTGGCTTCGGACTTGGGTGAGAAGATCTGCGAGTTAGGCAATGAGTGTCACTATTACCTTCTCTTTCCATGTGCTCGACACAAAATGTTCATCTTTAGCGACCTGAGGTTAAGAATGCTCACGTGACTAGGTTTCAGAGGTGCAAGAGAAACAATTTTGTCCTGCTCTTCATTTTTCTAGCTAGCTTAGGTGTTAAGAGCTATTTCTAAGCGTTCTGTGTCTATTTTGTGCCTTTCAACCATTCTAAGAGACAGTATTCATATCGCAGACAGGGCGGTTAGCTGAAAGGCACAAGCATCTCAGCATTCCCATACTTTAAAATGGATAGTTGTTATTTTTTTTATTTCTTATTAGCTTCTTAACTAACATACAACATATAGCTTGTTTTTTTTTTAATAGCTCTCTTGGAAAACTCTCTACTACATCAAAAAGGAAACGGAAATAAACCAAAGTATTTCCTTCGTGCTCTTCATATTTCCCAGCTGAGTATTATGCATATACTAGGTTAAGTGAATTAATGATCTAATGATCTCTACATAAGGCAGCAGCATTGAAAAAAAATCTATCTACTCCATGACTTCTATAAACTATGGAAGTGATAGAAGACAAAAATATCCTATGTGATAGCATAGGAATCAACTGTTAGAGGGTTATGAAAAAGAACAACAGTGACACGAAGGCTCCAGCTAATAAATCTTTACAGCTAAATTTAGTTCCTGTCAATTAAGCTTCTGCTCTATGAATGTTTAAAGAGTATGAGACTATAGGGGATGGAGATGAGATACCAAAGATTGTAGACATAAAAAAGTCTGATGTGTAAGTTTTGGGAGAGGGCTGACAGTTTATCATATTTTATGATATTACGTCATACTATCAAGAAGGTAGGGATGTCCTTAATGGAGAGCATAGCAATTTCATTTTCATGCGTTTTTTCTGTAGTTACGGATTCCCTTACTATTAGGTTGCATGGGGGTTTTATTTCTCATAAACATGTTAACTAGATTTCTTACCTGACTTTTTTGCAGGTTAGCTTCTTCTAGGAGTTGCATGCTGTTCCTGGCTCTTAGAATGGCTTCATACTTCTCAATTTCTAATTCAGTGTACCCTGCTTTCAAATCTCTAGTCTGTTTTCTCAAATGTGTGTTTTCTGTTCTTAATTGGGTGGCTTCTTGGATGGCCACACATAATCTAAAAATTAATAATCACATTGTAAAAGTTAAATATTTTTAAAGGGGAAGAGGGAGATTGCAGATTTACTGAGCATCTATTACAGGACAAGCATTATTCCAGGTACTTTCACATGTATTTTCTCATTTGATCTACACAAAAGTTCTATAAAGTAGATTTTGTTACTTCCAATTTAAAGAACAACAAACAGACCCATTTTAACAGAGGTGAAGCATTTTATTAAGGTCATACAGCTAATGAGCAGTGGGGCTGATACTGCACCTAGATATTTTGACTTTCTATAGCATCATGGTATATTATATAGTTAAATGATAATGTTACAAAGCAAATCCTTAAAGAATGAGTTGTTCCTTTTACTTTTATGGTCTTTTTTCTATCTTTCTATTTTTTCTTGGCGCCCCTTTCCTGTCTATACGCAGGGAACCCATGTCAACTTACTAATGTATATCTTTGAATACTTTTCTCTATGTTCATAAAATCATATACATATAACACACAAATACACATACACAGTATATACACATCTATATGTACATTTTTAAATATGTTTTTTGTGTTATAAAAATTAAGATCATAGTATTTACGCTTCTCTCATTCAATAATATCTTGTAGACATCCTCTCAAGCAATACATCCAAAAGTTCTTTTCTGTCCTACATCGATGGATGTAACTTCATTTCACTATTAATTTGTTTTTCCCTGATTACTGGAGAGTTTAAGCATATGTTTTAAGTTTGCTACTCATGTGAATTGTCATTGTGAAATTTCTTCTTCATACGCTCTGCCCGTTTTCTTCTGATGGGTTATTTACTTTGCTTGTTCCTTTATAAGAATTCTTTAACTATTAAGATACTAACCCTTGGTCTGTCCTATATGCTGCAAATATCTTTCTCAAATCTACTTTTTTTGTTGTTGTTGCCTAGTGACTATCTTTACCACACTACAACATTTGACTTTAATACAGTTAAATTTGACTATTTATTTTTACTTTTGGGTTTTAGTTTTTATAAGATGATCTCCTTCATCCATAGATTGTTAATGTAATCTCCTAGATTTCCTCAAAAGATTGCTGTGACTTTCATTTGTTTCATTTGCTTACTCCTAAATCTTTAGTAATGTGCTTTGGTATGTTCTGGTAAGACAACTTACATTTCATACCTTTCTTTGTTATATTCAGGTATTGTTTTCCCCCAAGTGGTGGCAAGAGAAGGCTTCCCTGTCCTTTCCCTGCCCCCACTACCCATAGCCAAACACAGTGGTACCAGGAGGAAGGTTCCAAGGTTCCAGCTCCTGCCCCTGGCAGTCTCCCAGTTCTGGGAACTGAGAGCTCTGCCTACCTTTTATGTCATTCTTCTTCTTCTTCTTTTTTTTTTTTTAAGATTTTTTAAATTGGGAAATTGGGGGAGGGGAACAGCGTTAGGGAATCGGGGAAGGGGAACAGACAAGTTGTTGTCCTTTTTGTTCTTCAGTCTAGCTGTGGAGGATGTCGCTTCTCTGGCCCATGTTGATATTATCATTGTGGTCTTCCTGGGTGAGGCAGTCACTCACTAGCCATTGGACGGCTAATCAGGGCGGCTCACAGCAGCTCACAAAAATGCACACCCGCTGCTGGCCAGCCCCACTGCAGCCTAATCTATCGCGGGTGACCCATGGCAGCCCAGCTCCATGTCGAGCTGTTGTTCACCATCTTAGCTGCAGAGGATGCAGTGTCACTAGCCCTCATGCGGGATCTGAACTGGGGCCCTGCTGCTCAGAGCTGGCGTCCCAAACCAACTCCTAACCAACACGCCACTTGGCTGGTCCCTCATTATTCTATTTTAAAAACACTTCTGTTGTTGTTATTTAGTAGATCTGCTTGACTCTGAATGAAGTGAGTTAAGGTCTACCACTATTTTAATCAGGATACTTGGCTGCCAGCAGCAGAAGCCAACTCTACGCGGAAAGGAGGTTTATTAAGAGGATATTGGTAAGTTCATAGCCTCACTGGGAGAGATGGAAAACCAGGTATGAAGCTTTGTAGCAAGGCACATGCCCAAAACTTCACCACAGGATATGCTGGTCTACCTGGGAAGTCCCGGAACATGAAAGGGCAATAAGATGCCGAGAGCCAAAAATAATGACCACAACTGTATTTCCATCAGATCACCCTTGCATTTCCCAGCTTTTGCAGCACATATTGAGCTGTCCTGTTATTTGCTGTATTTATGCTTATTCATGTTGTATGTTTTTCAGAACAGTGCCATTTTCTTTATAGGTCCCTCTTTATACTAGTTACAGCTTTTACCTTTACAGCCTACCTTGTGTGATAGGAATACTATCACTCCCACTTTTTTTTGTTTATAACTTGCTATATTCTCCATTAAAACCTTTATTTTAAATTTACGACAAATCCTCTTTATCTTTCCTTTTTCAGCTCTTTCTTCTAGTTCATCTAATCTTTGTTTTAGCTGTTTTGTAAAATAACATATTCCGGGCCTTGCTTTTTAATCAAAATCTTCAAGTCTCTACCTTTTAGTGGAATTCATTCATCTCATATTTTAATATAATGATTTATACTCGTATACAGGGCACTATTCATTCCATCTGACTTGGATTAAAGCATCTTTGGTAGAAGATGAAGCACTCTACCTCTCCCCAGGGGCACAGGGCACCTGTCACTGTACTGCACTCAGTTCACCCTTTCATTTCACCGTGGCCTCCTGGCCAGCCGAAGGTGGACTCTGAAAACTTACGAAGAGGTAGTTTAGAGTCACTCTACTCATTTAACTCCTGCGTAATTAGTACACAGCAGAGCATATGCAAACCAGAGAAGTCTTTCCCAGGGAGAACTGCCATTCCCTAGAGACAATTCCCAGGATCCATAAATCATCTAAAAAAGGGGGAAAGGGTATCCTTCTTTGGAAGATGGAAGGAAATGGCTTATGCTTCTTTGATGTTTGTGGCATTTAAAAATATCACAACTAATTTTAAAAATAAATAATAATAATTTAGAAACTACACTAGTTTGTATTTATTGAGGCGAAAATGTCTTTGATTTTATGGAACAAAGATGACCATTAAAAATATAACTTTTCAATATGGCAGTTCCATTAAATAGGAAACATTCACACCTAAACATATTGGCTGGACGTTGCCAGAGACACATATTAAATACACAATAACTCTGCTTTCTCTTACATAAAAATATGAGATTTTTTTTTAAACTTTAAAATATATAACCATTTTTCAGCATATTAGGAACTTAATAATAATTTAAAAGCTCTAAAAGACAGCTGATGTAGAAATACCTCTTTCAGAGGAGGCTAACTGAATACTAGACTTAAAAAAGAAATATCCTTAGATTTTCTTACACATGCAGTGATCTCTTTTTAGGGAGCTGTTTAGTTAGGTTATATTATAGATAGCTTTATACTAAAAGCAAAACAAAATGAAACAATAATAACAAAAATCCCCAAACCCTCAACACTAAAGAGACAACTTAAAACATTGTGGAATGAATGATCAACTTGATTCCTTATGACTCAATACTATCAGGATCAATAGAAAGTGAAGTTCACTCCTTCAGATTTCACTGTTTTGAGTCTCTCTAGCATTTATTTTCATAGCACAGAGTGCTACTAAAATAACAGAAATGAAAATCTACAACCACAGACCTTTTCTCTAAGGTCTAACGCAACAAAAGTTCAGGAAAACAGTAAGATAATCAACTGTTTAAAAGTTTAGAAAAATGAAAAACAAAACCCCTAGCATTTAAAAAATTACAACCTCTTTCATCAGAATCTCAAGTTAGCAGTTAAAATCAATTACTTTTCAACCTCCTCTGAGCAAAGACATTACTTTTATTAATATTTTGGAGAACAGGAAATAGAACGTCAAAGACAGTTTTGGTTTTTTTTTCTGAACAAACAATAAATTAGCCATGGATCTGAGACCAGACCTGAGATCTCAATTTTTGATGTGCTCAGATCAGTAGACTATTTCTGAGGGTAACAGATTCCAATCACACAGAGTATATTTTTCAATTCTAAACCATAATGTGAATTTACAGGCTGTGGTCACTGTATCTTTAACAGATTACATATGACAATTTTGAAGTTTCTTAAGGGAACACCCAGTAAGGATTAGGAAACAACAGGAAATCAAAAAAAGATTCTAGAGTGTTTGCATTAAGATAGCAATTAAAGATAAAGCTACAGAATATATTTACAAAGTAGTTCAGACCTTCAAAGATAACTGAAAACTTCTGCTCTGGAAGACTCCAAGGAAAACATCTATAATGATTTCTGAAGTATTTTTTCCTCTTGTGGATCTACTAAGTAAGAAATGGTTTTTCTACATAATTTTTACCCAACCTTATTACTATTTTTTTTTTTCTGCTTCAAGATCAAAATAACATTTTTTGATTTTGGAGTTGACTAAACTTGACTATGATTGTTTTGGGGAAAAGGTAAAGACAGAAATGATCTTTGAACATATTTTCAAAATACACCAATCTTTTGAATATATGATGTCCAGTAAATCAGATTTAAACCAATGATTATAGTTTGTTTAGCACTTATAAAATACATACTGAAACTCTTAATGTAGAATATATTTGAAGCATATATACAAAGTGAGATGTATTAACAATTTACCTTGTTTCTAATTGTTTTATACTAGATTGTAACTGATGTAAACGCCTATCTGATGCTTCCTCTCTTCCTTGGGCAGACACCACGTCCTCCTCCTAGAAAATAAAGGAAGTTTATTTAGAGTATGTGAAAATTCAACACTTCATTATACAGCATAAAGACAATAGTTCACTCTCTAAAGTTATGACGCTGCTAGAATTTAATATGTAAGTTTAAAGAAGTAGGGACATTTTGGGAACAAATTATGCGTACATTAAAAAAGGGGGATGAGATCCACACTGTATGAGATACCATCAATCAGGTATTAGGTAATCAATAATCAAAACAGTCATTGCATATAGAGTCCTACCAATATTTCAAAGTACTGTATTTCAATCCTGCAAGTCTAGCCAAACAAGGGACTTGTACGCAGTCTGCTTTTAGAATATGCTCTCTTAACGAGGTTACACTGCATCGCATTATAAGCACAGGATAAGACTTCTTTGACATGGTGATGCTTTGAAATATTTTAGTAAGTTTTATTTGTACCATCTTATTTTTTTTTTTTTAAGATTTTTATTGGTGAATTGGGGGGATGGGAACAGTGCTGGGGAATTGGGGGAAGGGGGACAGACAAGTTGCTGTCGTTTTGTTCTTCAGTCTAGTTGTGGAGGATGTTGCCCCACTGGCCATCAT